CATGCCCCTATTGTTAGTAGGGATATAGTCCGCCTCCTAGATGGCCTTACATTACGTTCGATTTTTCATGCGCCAAAGTTGGCCATGAATCTATTATCTGTACATCAGTTAGCCAGAGATTTTCACTGTGCGGTTGTATTCTTATCTGATTCGTGTTATTTGCAGGACTTGAATACCAGGAGGATTATTATCAGGGGACATGAGAAAGATGGACTGTATTATCTTAGCAATCCACCTGCAGTTTCACCAATTCCTCCACCTACATCACCTGCACCTGCTTTATCTTTTTCTGTTCCTAGCTTGCATGCTAGTATTTTACCTAGTAGTTGTCGTTATGATTTTTCGTCACAAACTATTCAGTTGTGGCATGACGGTTTTGGACATACAAATTTTAAATATTTATGTCTGTTGTTTCCTGTTTTGAGCAATGCTTGTGTTGGTGGTAAACTTGATTGTGTTATATGTTCTCTATCAAAACATGTTAGGGCTAGTTATATTCCTCGCATGCACCAATCACCTAAGCCATTTGACCTAATACACTCTGATATTTGGGGACTCTTTCCCGTTATTGCTTTGTCAGGTGCCCGATATTATGTGACATTTATAGATGACCATATCCGTTGTACTTGAGTCTATCTTTTGCATAGAAAGTTTGATGTACTTCCTATAATTACTCAGTTTTTACAGATGATTAAGACACAATTCGATGTCATTGTTCGTGCTTTTCGTTCGGATAATGCCAAAGAATATGTGTCTGATGCCTTAGTGTCTCACCTTTCTTCTCAGGGTATTCTTCAGCAACTCACTTGTCTATATACTCTTGAGCAAAATAGTGTTGCTGAAAGAAAAAATAGGAGTTTGATAGGGATGGTACGTTGTATGTTTAGAGGCATGAGGGTACCAAAATCTTATTGGTATTTTGCTGTTTTGACTTCTACCTTTTTGTGCAATCGTACGCCGAGTCTTTTTTTTCAGCATAAGGCTCCCTTACAGGTCTTATTTCCTGAGCGGACACTTTTTTCGGTCCCCCGTCGTGTTTTTGGATGCACATGTTTTGTTCAGGATCGGTCTCCTATTCGTCATAAACTTGATGATAAAGCGATTCGTTGTATCTTTGTGGGCTATTGTCATCAATCTAAGGGGTATCGATGTTATGATCCTATNTCAGGATCGGTCTCCTATTCGTCATAAACTTGATGATAAAGCGATTCGTTGTATCTTTGTGGGCTATTGTCATCAATCTAAGGGGTATCGGTGTTATGATCTTATCAGGCGCCGTATGTATCACAGTCTAGATGTTACCTTTCTTAAGCATATTCCTTATTTTCCTCCCAGTCCTGTGTCTGCCCCTCCAGTTGATGATACTCCTTTTGTTTTTCCATTACCACAGGAATCAGAGTCATTGGTCATTATCCTTACAGGGTTATCTGTTTCTCCTCCTTCAGAGCCATTCATCTCTGTCAGTACAGAGTTACTAGTCTCTCTTCCTTTGCAGGTGTATGTTCGTCGCCCTCGCTCTCATCACCCTGCTGATGTCCCCTCTACCTCAGGCGATACAGGTAATACTTCTCAGTTTGTTGAGCATATTAATGCACCTGTTGTTAGTACTAATGAGATTGCAGGTACTGAGCTAGTTCATTTACCTGATGAGACATTATCAGTGGAGGAGTATGATTTAGGGCGTCGTTATCCGTGGCGTGATCGCCGTCCAGTTGATCGTTATGGTTGGACCGCTAGGATTTTATATCTGATCTCTGCTTATGTTTCTTATGGTGATCTGTCTCCCACATTTTGAGCTTATACTATGGCCTTATCAGATACACCGGTTCTTCTCTCTATTTCGTAGGCTATGCGGGAGCCCCAATGGGTTCTTGCCATGCAAACAAAGATGGACGCTCTTCAGCGTAATCATACATGGGATCTTGTCTCCTTATCTTTAGGGGTGAAGCCTATTGGCTGTCGCTGGATTTATACCCTGAAGTTTCTTGCGGAAGGTACTATTGATCGTCACAAGGCTAGACTTGTGGCGAAGGGCTTTACTTAGATATCAGGTCGTGATTTTGGTGCTACATTTGCCCCCGTGGCAAAATTGACTACTGTTTGGTTGATTATTTCTCTGGCTACGGGGTACTCTTGGCCTCTTCATCAATTAGATGTGAAGAATGCGTTTCTTCACGGTGATCTGGACGAGATAATTTATATGGATGCACCACCGGGCTTTCGTGGTGAGGGGGAGTATGCTGGAAAGGTATGTCAACTGCGTAAGTCTCTTTATGGACTGAAACAATCGCCACGAGCTTGGTTCTCTCGCTTTAGTGATGTAGTCGTACGATTGGGGTTCACCAGGTGTCATTCTGATCATACTTGCTTTATTCGACGGAATACTTCTGGACAGTGTGTCATTCTTCTGGTATATGTTGATGATATTATTTATTACTAGTGATGATGTTTCTGGGACTGCGCAGGTCAAGATAGACCTTGGGAAGGCCTTCGATGTGAAGGACCTTGGATTTCTGCGATACTTTCTTGGGATTGAGGTTACCTGTAGCGGCAGGGATATTGTTCTTTCTCAAAGAAAGTATGTTTTGGATCTTCTTTCAGACACTGGGATGTTGGGGTACAAACCGGCATCATCACCCATGATTCCAAACCTGAACCTTACTGCTGAAGGTGAGGAGTTGAAAGATCCGACAGTTTATCAAAGATTGGTAGGTAGACATATCTACTTAGCCAATACTAGGCCGGACATTTCATTTGCAGTCAGCCGAGTTAGTCAGTTCATGCACAGGCCATGTCAGCCTCTTCTTAATACAGTTTATCATATTCTTCGGTACCTCAAGTCTTGTCCTGGACTTGGGTTGTTTTATGTATTAGGATCTCAGACCAGTTCTCTAGCCTGTTATTCAGATTCAGATTATGAGGGAGCATGTGATGGTCGATCTACTACGGGCTTCTGTGCTTTTCGAGGGACTCATCTTATCTCTTGGAAGAGCAAGAAGCAGGCAGTTGTCTCCCGCTCGTCAGTAGAGATAGAGTATCGGACACTGACACTTGGCACGTGTGAGATTATTTGGCTACGATCGATTCTTGGCGAGTTGGGTTTTTCAGTGACCTCTCCTTCCACATTATATTGTGATAATCGATCTGCTATTCAGCTCGCTTTTGACTCTGTACTACATGAGAGGACGAAGCATATAGAGATTGATGTTCACTTTCTTCGGGAGAAGGTTAGCAATGGTGTTGTCACTCCATTGTTTGTGGGGACCAGTGATCAGGTTGCGGATGTTTTTACCAAACCTGTCACTCTGTCTATTCTTCGGGACTCCGTTGTCAAGCTTGGCTTAGTTGACATTTTTGCGCCTAGCTTGAGGGGGAGTGTTGGAGTATAGATAGTNGAGGACGAAGCATATAGAGATTGATGTTCACTTTCTTCGGGAGAAGGTTAGCAATGGTGTTGTCACTCCATTGTTTGTGGGGACCAGTGATCAGGTTGCGGATGTTTTTACCAAACCTGTCACTCTGTCTATTCTTCGGGACTCCGTTGTCAAGTTTGACTTAGTTGACATTTTTGCGCCTAACTTGAGGGGGAGTGTTGGAGATATAGCAGCAGCCTAGTTTATTAGGGTTTTATTAAGTTTTTCTTTTTTACCTTTTTGTCCTTATGGTAACTCATTGACTATATATACGGGGGCTCTACACTTAGTTTGGATCCTTTTTTCATTCACGTTGTATTTCAAGTGTTATTGGCATGGAAACTCAAGTCATAGATGATAAAAGAAATTTGACAAACCATGCACTGGGGCTGTTTAAATCCATATTATGCATTGTGGAGTTTGCACACCTGACCACGACTATGGGGCAAACTAAGAGGACGAGCCATAAAGAGTGCTTCTGTGAAATCTCCATGAAGAAAGATATTTTTTACATCCATTTGTGAAGGACACCATTGATGATTAGTAGCCACTGTAATCACTGTGCAAACAGTGGTCATCTTAACAATGGGAGCAAAGTCGCTTCATAATTGATCCCATACTCTTGAGCAAATCTCTTGGCCACCAATTGGGCCTTGCACCGTTCCACAGACCGTCAAATTTGGTCTTAATTTTTTACAATTACAACCAACTGTGTGCTTGCCAGAGGGTAATAACTCCAACTCCCAAGTTGTAGTCTTTATGCAATGCAGCTTTGGTAACAAGATAACTTTGATTACACAATTGAGAGAGAAAGAGAAGAAATAAAGGAATAATATTATTACTACCAATGTAGTTTGCTTACAACATATTATTAAGGATGCAGAATAAAGACCCTTTGTCGTAGGCAAAACAATACTAGAAAATGACTAGACTACCCCCTAGTACTAACCTACTCCAACAAAACTAACATTAGGTGGTCCTAATCATTCAATTTGTGGTACAAGATCTCTTACAATGTTATAAAGAAGGAAAGATCCGCATCATGTGCGCATTGCTCTGAATAAGAACTAGCCCCTTCATGATTTAATGGGCAATAATGATTTTATAAATGAGCCTGTAATCTTCTGAAGCACATCAGATACTGGGACATCATATACATGCACAACGATGAAATATTATGTATTCTCATTCTAGCACTTCATGCTTGCATACTTGTTGGTATATATTAGTTCCCACTCCCCATTCAACTCAAAAGTACAAAATCATAGATAAGTTGCATTCGCTCATGCCCTATCTCAGTATTTTGTTTCTGATTGTGTGGTTGCAAGGTTCTTTGGTATAAACTACACTTGCCATGTAAATCTGTGTTTTCCTGTGTATGGCGATAAGTGCCTTCATGCAGTTAATTCCACAAGTATTGTATGAGTTTGTGATAATTTTGTCATCTTAAAAAACTTCTAATAACTACTTATTTTTCCAATGTTATTAGTTGCTGATGTCTAAACAACATTTGTTTGATGTTGCACTCTAAATGTCCAGGCACCTCAAAAGCACCAAAAGTATGTTTCTCACGTTCTCAGTCTTCCAATGTCAAAAGTAGTTTGCAAGACAAAGCGAATTGGCGGTGGATTTGGAGGGAAGGAGACTAGGTCAGCTTTCATTGCTGCTATAGCTGCCGTGCCATCATATCACTTGAATCGTCCAGTGAAACTTACACTAGACAGGGACATTGACATGATGATAACTGGGCAACGCCATAGCTTTCTTGGAAAGTACAAGGTACTATTTTTGTTCCATGTTTCAATTAAGATGCTGTATGACATATCCATACACTTGGGCATTTGAATTGTACATTCAAGACCAGATGCAATACATAGTCTTGGCTACATGATTACTGCAAAATTCTTTTGATTTTTCTTCTCATAACAACAAACAAAAACAAGAATGAAGAAAGAAGTGTTCTCCTGCAACACTTCAGAGTTATTTTTGTACAATTTGGAGCACTGGTAGAGAATGAGAAAATGCTTATTTCAACAATACAGGGATGAAAAAAGAAAAATAAACAAGGAGAAAGGCCTATCTATCTTTTATTGCACTTTCTACAAATCCTTTCTGTTTGATTTTACATTGCTTGGGTTTGTTTCTTGTCTGCAGCTTATGTTACTTTTCATTTAAATACGATGGGACAAAATAATGATATACAACTATCTAATTAGGTAGGGTTCGCAAACAATGGAAAGGTGCTTGCCCTGGATCTTGGAATCTTCAATAATGCTGGAAATTCACTCGATCTGTCTCTTGCTATACTTGAACGCGCTATGTTTCACTCTGATAATGTCTATGAGATACCAAATGTCAGGGTTAACGGTAGGGTTTGCTTCACTAATTTCCCTAGTAACACTGCTTTCCGAGGATTTGGTGGTCCCCAAGGTATGCTAATTACTGAAAATTGGATTCAAAGAATTGCGGTCGAAGTTAAGAAACGGCCAGAAGAGATACGGGTAAGTCATATGCTCTTGACCATTTGTTGTTGCCAGATGTTGGTTATGTGATATCTACTATTCCTACTTTTCTTTTGGATGACTTCTATTAAATGGATTTCTTTTCAGGAAATTAATTTTATTAGTGATGGAACGCTGTTGCATTATGGTCAACTAATTGAACACTGTACACTGGACCGGCTCTGGAATGAACTGAAGTCATCTTGTGACTGGTTGAAAGCTCAGCAAGAAGTTGAACAGTTTAATCTTCATAATCGGTGGAAAAAGCGTGGAGTTGCTATGATCCCCACTAAATTTGGCATTTCCTTTACAACAAAGTTCATGAACCAGGTGAGTTTTGTGTCTATGTCAAGATAAATGTTCTTCCAATTAAGTTGGTGTTTTTATGACTCAAAATGTTCATTTACATTCAAACAGGCTATAGGATGGAAAGTTTGAAAAGAGAAATATCATACCACCTTTTTGAGAGATTAGGAGTTTCATTGGGCTTTCAAATAGGTTCTAGCTTTTATATGTACATGTTTTGGTAAACATTATTTAGACCAGCAAAATAAAAGATACAATTTTTTTTCAATGAAAACAGATATGCGGATCTACTTGGAAACATTGATCCTTGGTTCTCTTTTGTGTTGTAAATAATTTCTGCGAGCATAGTTTTTAGGAGTAACAATTCGTTAACAGAATTATGTAGTTGGCTTATTATTATTATTAGGTTATTGGGATCCCTCTCTCTCTCTCACACACACACACACACACCCACCCACACCCCCACATGTCCTCACACACACACCCAACGGATAGATGTAAAAATACAACTACTTGTGTGATTTTTTTTCATGGGTATTGATTTTTTTATAAGAAAATTTAGATGGCATACTTGCGTATGGGGTGGCATATTTCCGTGTTCTCACTTTCTATTCCATTCTTGAATTTTTATGTGTTCTCACTTTTTATAAGTTTGAGAACGATTTTGTTTTGTGGATAGATTTTGTTATTTGGCTTCTTTTTGGGTTCTGCACCTCCTTATTTTGTGGGTATTCCATTATATTTGATTTGGGCGGATTGGAAGTCCAAATGGGACATATAACATGTATTCTCTTTCTTTTCTGTCCTCTTTCTTGGTGGACTTTTTGTCTACCATGTACTTCTACCTTATTATATTTATAGAATATCTGTTGTGTTCATCCCTAAAGGTAATAGGCAATAGCCATCATGAGGTTATCCACTTTTAAGGGACCAAGGTGTTCTATCTTCTTGGTCATCGTAGGTTGACTTAGAAGATTGGTACCCCATCTTCATTTAATTTTGTTCGTCAATATATACAGGAACAGATCCCTTCTAAGCCTGATAAGCTGGGTTGTTGATTTATTTTCAGGAAGACTAAGTTATTTCTCATTTGTGCTTGATCAGAAAATTTCAAATTTTAATCGAAGTTAGTCTATGCTGACTGGGTATATATTATCTTGGTATATTGAAACAGGGCCTTCGTGTAATAAGTAAGGAATTTGTACAGCTTCTTATCCTTCGCTCTCTACATTTTTCAGTGCACTGACACTACCATATTTCATATTAATTTCCTTTCAAAGCGTTATGGTTTGCATATATATATTTGAGTTTGCAGAATGTCAAGAGCTCCTCTCCAGTTCCCCCCTCCCCTCTTGTCCTTCTTGAGTTACAATAAAACTATAGAATGACATGTTTCGTCTTTCTCTATCTTTCATTTCCTCCCATCTCACCAATTAAAGTATTATCTATGGAGTAATGCCTTCGCTGAATCTTAGTTATCATATACTTGTCTAATTTCTTTTCCTGTGTATATCAACCTTGATTCTTTGAAACACTTGTTAGCCAACATGCTTGTCTTTATCAAGTAAACTACCATTGTGGTTTAGGTCGCCATTTGAGAGTATAATAAAATAGAATCTATACGAATTGCCTTCATTTCTTTCAGCAGTGTTCCTTACCATAACAAGAAGCCAGAAAGAAAGAAAAAAATCCAGTTTTCTTTTGTCAGTGTTATTTTCTGTTTTCGTTCTTGCATTGCTAATCAAGGTGGTTTATATATCTGTTTTTGACTGCAGGCAGGTGCTCTTGTTCAAATCTACACAGATGGAACTGTCTTAGTTACTCACGGGGGTGTCGAGATGGGGCAAGGTTTACATACAAAAGTAGCTCAGATAGCCGCTTCTTCCTTCAATATCCCTCTGAGTTCAGTGTTTATATCAGAGACAAGTACCGACAAGGTATATAACAGTAGCACTGGATTTTGGGCTTTATGCTGTTATAGTTTCTGGCTACCAATGTAATATATTTTCTTTCAATTTAACTTAAAGGCGAATCTATCTCAGAATCAGATTGGGGGTTATTGTCATCTAGGCTATGTTTGTATTATATGGAGAGAAACGACAGGAAGTAAGGGATATGTTTTATTTTCTTTCCTTTCTTTGTTTTGTTCAGCTATGAAAGGAGAAAATAAAGAAAAGAGTATCAATGTTCTCTTTTGTTTCATCTTTTCTTTCCCCTGTATATTTTCTCTTCCCTTCCCCACCAAGACAAAGACACCCTTATTGTTTTTGTTTAGTGCAAACAAAATAATAAGAGAAGAAAAACGTGTTGGGGGGTGGGGGTTTGGTGAAGACCTATTCTTCTACAGAAGCCCCAAAAGTGCATGGACACTAAATCCTTTGCCTGACAAGCATGGTGAGATAACTGTAAATCAATTTTTGTTATTGTCAAGACATTTTAATGCTCCTAATTGATGTGCAAGGTCACTCAGTAGTGAAGATAGGGAGTATTTTCTTCCTATTGAAATCTCCAGTAGAATAATGAACCATACTTCAAATACTGTTGACGTTAAGGGAGATTTAATTAATCAACTAAAATTCAATATTTGCATGAACATGAGAATTCAAAATAAAAACTATTCATCTGATGTTCGGAATTCCAGCTGTATTTATGTCTGTCCCTATAATCTAGTTGGGTTGCTGATACCATTTCTCCATCTTATCTCTGTTCTTTTGCTGCTTAATAGGTCCCTAATGCATCACCAACAGCAGCTTCAGCTAGTTCTGATATGTATGGGGCTGCAGTTTTGGATGCGTGTGAACAAATAAAGGCACGGATGGAGCCTATCACTTCAAGACATAATTTTAGTTCTTTCTCAGAGGTTCTTTCTGCTTACCTGTTATTTGTATGATCTTCTTTTGAAGTGTTATTCCTTGACATGAAAGTAATGCATTTTTTTTCCGTTTGAGATCTGTTGAAGAAAAAGTGACAGGGAAATACTTCTCAAAAAGGGAAATATTTTTTGGCAAAAAAAAGAATATTTTTTGGCAAAAAAAAGAATATTTTTATTAGTCACGTGTTTGTAAGAGAGTGTTGATTTTTTTTCTATTGAATTCCAACATTAAAAGCAGGAACTGGGATTCTGAAAGTGATTATATTGTGGTCATAACTACTGTTGTAATGGTAATTTGTTGTAATAAAATATACAGAGAAATATTTGGGGAATGAATAAGCAGAATAAAATATAGTCACAACATTTTTCTTTTAGCGGATAAAAAGATCGTCATGGGCAAGTTAAAGTCAAGCAGAATAGATAAGCATATGGTTGGACATGTTATGGGTCCCAATCTACTTTAATTACTTGTGTCCTATTTACTTGGGTAGGTTGTATGGTTTTTTATTCACAATTTAGGTTTATCTTGAGCCACGTCTTCTGTTAAAACATTGGAAATTATGTTTTTTCCCCACAATCTCCACTTTTTTTTTTTTTTTTACTTTGGGCACTTCCATTTCGAATTAATGACTCATTTCAACTGCCTTTTCATTGTTTTTTGTTGCATTGTGGCCCAATCAATCATTGGAACTATTTCCCATGCCCAATTGGAACTATTTCCCCTCATCTTTAATAGGTGCCTTTTTAACTTTTTGTGAAAGCACTGTTGAAGAATGTGATGTGTTTCAATTGTAATCAGCTGGTAAATGCATGCTACATGGAGAGGATAGACCTTTCTGCTCATGGATTCTACATCACACCAGATGTCGGATTTGATTGGGGAACTGGTAAAGGGAGTCCATTCAGGTACTTCACCTATGGTGCTGCATTTGCTGAGGTTGAAATTGACACATTAACTGGAGATTTCCACACGAGGAGAGCTGATGTTTACTTGGATCTTGGATATTCTCTCAATCCGGCCATTGATGTTGGACAGGTTGGCATCATACCCTCCATTTGCATTTTTTACCCATATTGCCAAACTTTATTCTTCATTCTATAGACATTGTTTAGCGTTTGCTGCAATGGCCACTAGACAAGAGTGGTGTCCAGCAGCAATGACAGTGTGGTGCTTGTTCTCTTCCAGCCGGGTACCTGATAGTGGTAGTTTTATGATCAAAATTTCCTTTAGGTCAGCAGAGGATAACATAGAAAACTTAATCCCTTTTCTGGAGAAAAAATATAGGCTTTACAAATTGTAGCTAGGAATATGCTTCTTGCCATATATGACAACCTCAGTTAACACAAGCAATATATTTTTGCAAAGAGTTTCCTCTTGATATGAACATGATTTGGTCAGGAAATTGTTCTGTTGAAACAAGTTTCTGCTGCAACGAAGTAGATATCAAATCCTTTTGCTGGTGAGGCCACCAACTGAACCATGGGTTGTCCATTTTTAAACAATTTTAACAAACAGGGTTTGGACATGTTTCCGTCTTCTTTCCATGCCTTTAGATATTAGGGGGATGGTCTCTTCATTCATTTATGGGATGCTGCTCTCCAAATTAGCAATCATGTGAAGAAAAATTGATATGGAAAAATTATCACAGAATATTGAGAGGAGAAATATACTTGATGGATCCTTTCATTGTGAAAGGAATGACTATTAGATATAACTGGTATATATATGTATGATCAGTAAATAACGTGCCAAAAATGATAAATGTGAAGTTTTGTTCATGAATCTGCTCCTTGTTTGTGTGAAGATAGTTGTGTCATTTATGATGAAGGTTTGTTTTTGATTTACTCCATCCACTAGTATAATTGATCATGTTTAGTTCACTATTCGAGGTTCCTATTTAAGCCAATTCAACTAAATCAAATTAGGAGTGAATGCCTGTGCCAGACTAATTACATAAAACACATCATTCAGAAGGTATGGTGCTAGAGTGAGTGCGCTTTTGAAAGTAAAGGTTCTAAGTGTTCGCATTGGATCTCAGGTTCTCTATTGCACTTTGTAAATAGGGTTTTTTTTACCTTTCCCTTACGGTACTTTTATGCAGTGTCAATCATTGAGTAGGACTTAAACTTACAGTGTGGTCCACCCTTCTCACGTAAAAGCGATTAGAATTCAAACATGCCACATGTCACTGGGAAGGACCAAACCATGGGAACAAATCTACAGGGCTATCACCTTCTGTGGCCAGATCTTATAAAGACAAACAGTCATAAGATATCTAATATGTCTGTCAGATTGTCATATGCTGCTAGGTCTTGGATTTTTGGTTTAACTCAAACTGTGATGCCTCACTTTGGTCTTCATTTGGCTTCAGATAGTTCTCAATAAGGTTTTTTGACTATTGGTTTTTCACATGATATCAAGTCCATGGTTTTTGAAATCTAGGAATTAGTGATTTGGTTGGCATTCCCATAGCCAAATATGTTATAGTTGGTAGCTGCTTTAAAGCAGACATGAGAATGCTTCTCTTATATTCATGCATAATAAAATTCATTATTAGAATGCAAATATTAATCATTTCCTTGTTGCACATCTGAAAAAATTTGTCAAGAATTTTGATACCCAACTACCCATACAGTGATTAAGAGATGCGACCTTGTTGGTATTGTTCCATAAACTGCGATTGGATTATCTGATGCATTATAGTTGCAGTGCATTGAAATGTGTGAAATTTACATGTCTGAAGAAATTATAGTGCGCAAACACCCTACGGTATTTTCAGTTCATTTTGGTATTTAGGTATACGATCAAGCTATTAGAGCCTTATTCTTCTAGTGGAAGGTTCATTTGTCTGATGTATTGTCCCATTTTCTAATTTTAGGGATTTGTGATGTCAGTGTGATTTTCAACGTTATATATTATTTGCCTGACTAGCATAAGCAATACCTGCTTGGTTAAGCCTGGTAATGTCATTCCCGTGATGGCTTACTCTATTATCCTGTCTTCTTTTTGGCTGATCTATTCTCTCATATAAGGTTTACTTACCCAATTAGAAATTCGTTCTTGTGGTTATAGTATCAATCTAAAAAGTGCTAGGACTTTCTTAGTCCTTAAGTTATCAACCTCATGAGAAGTTTCCGGATGACTTGATGATTGTATACAGATTGAAGGAGCATTTGTACAAGGTTTGGGGTGGGTAGCCTTGGAGGAGTTGAAATGGGGAGATGCAGCTCACAAATGGATCCGACCAGGCTGCTTGTACACATGTGGGCCCGGAAGTTATAAAATTCCTTCTGTGACTGACGTTCCCTTCAAATTCCATGTTTCGCTGTTGAAGGTAAGCATCATGATACTTCTGCCTAGATATTTGGGAGTGCTTGGATGTCCTAAGGAATTGAAAATTTTCACTATCCAATGCATGGTATTTGAACACATTAAGTGGGTCTGTGAAATAAATATATCTGCATAATTATCAACATCATGACACCTAAACAGGTATTGAGTTGAAAACCAGAAATATATAGCAATCGGTGGGGCAGTTTATATAGATTGAAAATGGCTCATTCCCAAATAAGTGTTAAGAAAAACAGCTATTGCCTTGTTTGGATGATATAGAACAATAATGGACTTCGTAATGGTTGGTATTCAGAACTATGTGGGTTGATATAATTTCAATGTCAGGCCAAGTAATTAAAAGCTTATTTGGACTTGTCAACAGGGAGTCCAAAAGTCGGCACGTATCCTATCATGACAATTTTTGCCTGTCTTACGTGTGTCTTTCAGGAAATTCTAGATTTCTATAGAAGGAATAAAAATATGGCATACCTCTTACTTATGTCTTATTAGAGCCCCTTTGGTTTTGTATGTTAAGAGAGCTTATATCCCACATCCAATAATTAAGACCACAAACCTTTGGTTTATATACTTAAGGGCCATCCCACCCACGACCAATTAGTTTTGGGTTGTATGCTATAACATGGCAACAAAGTTGGATCTTGAGTGGTCAATGAGTTAAAGTCTTTTATCCATTTGAGTTTTCCAGTATGCATAGTTGTTTATTTGTTTATTGACCTCATGTGCAAGCCCAAGTCCTATGTGAGAGAGGGCATTACGAAAGCTTGTATCCCACATCGAATAATTAGATCCACCAATGTTGGAAGATATACTTGAGGAGTCACTCTACTCATGGCTAAATAGTTTTGGATTTTTGGTTGGATGCTCTAACATTGTGATTAAAGACAAGCATATGTATGTGTATAAATACATACATGTTAGCAATAACCGTTATTTTGCCCAGCAAATAAGAATTTTTCTTTGCCCTCTATAATGGAAAGACTAGCACTTTCCTCGTGTTTGGTTGGAGCACTAAATGGCTGCTCCTTCCTCATTCCCCTTATCTCCCCCTCGGTCTCTGTTTTTTTTCTCTCTCTCTCCCCCTCCCCTCTTCTTCCCCCTAACCCCCCAACAACACCGAATGCTTCACTAATATTAGTTCAATTCACTTTCCTATAGAACTTCTTTCCTCGTTGAAAAATGGGGGTCACTACCCAGCTAGGTTCTCCAAGTGACCTAGATACGGATCTAACATTTGGAATTATTAATACAAAGTGACTGCCCTCAATTTCGTACCACATTCTCTTTCCTCTATGTAATATGGGGTGTTGGGAGTTTTGAAGAACGGTGGTAGTTTGAGCTTGCTCCCACTAAGTTATTATTGTTATTATTTTTTTGGTATAGTTTAATGCAGTTGTTTGGGAAATCAATACCTTGATTTGTCTTTGTCCAAGTCTCGGGGGCATTGCAACAATTATAGGGTTTTTAAATTAAAAGATCCTTTGTTTATTAAAAAGATGAAGGGTGGGGCTATTCTAACCTCACAAATCTCCATTCCCACCCCCATTTAATTTCTCATTATTAAATTACTAAGCCCAACCCTTCTATACCCACCCCATTAGTAACTATAAGTCCACTCCATTTAATTTCATGACTCGGAATGTGAAACCCGAGTTCAAATGAGTAACTTTAGTGCTACTAAAACTTGCCTTCTTAAGTAAGTATAGGTTTGTATAATGCTTGGATTGGGCCCCATAACCACTTTTTGTCCAATGTGCTGTCAGAAAGAGAAAGAAGAAAACCATCCTCAAGACATATCAGTGTCGTCGTGATAAGATTCTCTAATTAAGGTTGTCTACCATATCTTACATCTAGTAGAAATAAGATATTTTTGAGCTAGGCAGTTCACAATCACCCTCAACTCTGCAAATAACATTTTTGGGGATGACCGTGGAGGTTTAATAAGTGCTATCGCACAAGACAGAAACTTCTTGCTGCATATTTAAGAGCAAGTTCTGCATGTTAAAGTATCCGACCCAAAACTAATTGGCAATTTGTGGAGAGTCCCCATGAGAGCATATAAACCAATCTTGGGTGGCCCCGATCATTCAATGTGGAATACACGCTCTCTTTATGTCCTCAGTCTTTTGGGACCTGGATCACACATGGGGCTACCAAACAAAGAGACAGATATGTAAATCTAAAAATTCGAATAGGTAAGAGACTTGGTCTATTGACCACCTAAGGCCCTACTTTGATACCATATTAGAGTATCCAACCCAAAACAAAATTAAGACAAGTGGAGAAGTCCTTTAAGAATATAAACCAATCTTGGGTGACTCTGATCATTTGATGTAGTACAAACTCTCTTTACACTTCTATACCGTAGGTTATGCTTATGATCCATGTCTTACATTTTGCTATTAATATTTTGGAGGACAATTGTTGAGCTTTAATAGTTTCTTCACATACCGCAAAGACTTGTTGCAGTATATTTTAGCGCAAGTCCTTCTATCCTTGGGTTTTGTTTGCAATCATTGTCTTCATCTATGAGCTTCAGATTTTTCTCTAGGAACAACATACACATGCAATGTAATGGTCTTGGCAAAAGATCAAAATTTTATTTTGATAAACAGTTTCAGTTAGCTCAAAAATAAAAACGTTCTAAAAAATATTTCGAAAATCTTCTAGAAACATAGTGGAAATAAAATTAATTCAAAATTGTCTCTGAAATATTGATCAAAACATATCGAAACATCCGGAATTGTTCGAAACATTCTGAAATACTTCGAAACATTCTAAAGTATCTCGAAACATTAGAATTTGAATATGTAATTAGTGTTTTGTTTCAGCTTCCATGGAAACAGAAATATTTCGGTCGTTTTGGTGGAAAAGAAATGAAATTTTGATCCAGGTCTTGGACACAACGTTTATGAGTTCCGTATAATTTTTAATAAGAAAAATTCTTACCCTTCGTGACAAAAACCAGTTCATTAAAGTTGATGCTCAATAGATCATAATTTTGTTAACAATACTCATAGTTGGCCTGCCTTGGCCTAGGGCCCCCAAAATAGGAAATGTTTTTAGGGTCTCTAAATAAAATGTTTCGACCGCCAAGTTTGGTCTAATTTTTGTTTTTGCTCTTATCCGATTTTTTATTTAGTCTAAAAATATATTCTTTCTCCTAATTAATAGACATAATAAAAAGGAATATGTAGGGATGTTCTCTCATCCTCTCACATGTAAGCCCTGTTTCTCTAATTTCTCTCTTTGAAGCACCATTCGAAGACCTTATGGATTCCTTGCAGTTTTTATATTAATCCTACCAGTTGCTCTTCTACTCTTTATCCGCAATTCATACAAGTTTTCTTAGGTTAAATAGTTAGTTGCTTATGCTTTTTTAGGAGAACTTTTGATATCCATTTGTGAAATCGACTGTATAATTAGATGTTTGTCACCCAACTGTTATGAACTATAAATTATTTTCTTTTAGGTTCAATTCGATGTCTTTTTTCAATATGGGAAAGATCTTTCGGTTGATTTTTTTTTTTTTTTG